CCCCAAAACCCCAAAACCCCAAAACCCCAAAACCCCATGAAACTTTTATACATGAAAATTTATACATTAAAAATGGAAAGTCGAGGATTGGGATTTTTGTCTCGAATGCCAAGTTTTCGAAGCCAGTCGTTTGAAAATAGAATGAAGAGGAAAACCATAATGAAGTAGATATCTTATCTTTTCTTCTATCAAATTCTTAACTTTCTTCTTCTAATCTTTGTACTAGAGGAAGGAGGAAAGGATTGTTAGCTTATGAGCAGCCTGAGGAGAAATAAGTCCCCTCCTTTACATAGGCCAAGAGTGTCTAAACTAGTTCGAGAAGCTTTATCTAAGGCCAGCAGAGACCTCCATGAAGAAGTGGATGAGTTCCTCTCAACTAAAGGCAGTGGCTTCAAAGCCAATTATCATAATAACAAGCATACCATTTGGGAGTTTCTAAGCGATTATATTAGTGATAGGAAAATGGATGATACTGTAGACAGCTTTATCAAATCTCGTAAGGGAGAAAAAGAGGTCTTAAACTTATTAAGCAATCCTCGCATTAGTAAGCTGGCTTCAGGCAATACCAATGTGATGAGAGCCTTGGTCATGCAGAAGTTAATAATGCCTCGTATAAAGAAATAAAAACCAACCTGCCAGTAAAACGTATAGTGATTATGGTAACTTGTAGAGATTTCAATCCAGATTTTCGGAGAAATACTGGAGATGAACTCCAAGACTTCTTAAAATAACACAAAAGATTTTAAGAAATTTATGAATAAAGCAAAAATGAAGCAAAAGATGTCCTTGTACAGACTATTCAAGAAACACAAGCATCGAAATAAACTCAAGCGCAAGCTTGGACACCAAGGAACTATCAAGATTGGAGATTTTAAGATTAAGACTCAAGGAATTGAGGAACCACAGAATAGTTTACATAAGTAATTTTTGGATTTCATACCCCTCTTAGAAGGAAAATGACTCAACCTCAAGAAAATGAATGGATGAAAAAGAGATTTGAGAGGCAAGAGAGCATAGCAAATGGTATCAACCCTAACTTTTGGAGCTCCGAACGCAGAGATGCACGACTCGGTTCAATAAATAGCCCTAGGTATGATAATTTAAACATTGAGGATATTATGATGAAAGATTTGATGTCTCTCCCAAAAAAACTTAAGAACAAAGTAAAATCTCAAGATCAAAGGAAAAAGATGCAGCCTCCTCTAGATTCAAATCCTATGTTTAATCAAATGCGAGATAAAGTGAAGGAAATGCAAAATACTATTAAAAATGGCCGTAAAGGTAAGCCCATATTGCTAAACATAGCTTTTGGGATTGACAAGATCCCACAAAATCTCCGGATCAGCTTAAAGAAGAAATCAGTAGGTACAAAACGCAACATGTATGGCCGAAAGAAACACTTTAAGTCAGAATTCATAGATAACTTGTCTTCTATGCTTCTTGAATCAAGTAAGAGCATTTTAAGAGAGAATAATTTTATATATTGTATATAGGCAGTAGCTCAGAACAATCTGAAACTACAAGCTACAGAGAATCTATTGCTCAACAATACAAAAGGCGTCACAATATTGGCACTAGTTATCATGAACTTCCAGATGATATTTTGTCCAACTTCCCTTCAATGGCGCCGATAAGAGAAGAGAAAAAGGCTAAAATGTACTGATTTCGAAACGTTTTTAATCATTTCCATATCAAAAATTTACATTTCCTATAGACTCCCTAAGCTAGATATTAGTAATCCTGGAGTGATTATTGACAGCGAATCTGACTTTGACAGCCAGAGCTCTAAACAAAGTGAGGCATCAGAACAGAGGAAGACTTTATTATCTCCATTAACAAAAGTAGTTGCGGGTGTGAAGTCAAAATCTCCTCAACCGTCACATAAAACAACCTTCTTTATTCATCAAAGCGGGACAAAAGGTTTTAAACGTAAGAGACGCATAGATACAATTATTAAGAAGACTGAAGCTAAGCGGATTAAGAGAACCAAATTCAAAATTACTAGAAAGTTGGTCCTCTAGCTTAATCTGAGTCACTATTACTCCTAAGGCTCATCTCACAATATTCCTCATCAAGTACTATCTTAGGTGAGGAAAATTGATTTATTAAATAACTAATCTCTAATCCCCAAAAGAGGGGTTTTGGGGTTTTGGGGTTTTGGGG